TTTTTTTTTTTTTTTTCGCTTTGCTCTTTATTTAGTATTTAAGTTTTGATAAAAAATTGTTCTGTTTTTGTTTTTGTTTAGCGTGTTCACACCAATGATTTCGTGGGTATTTTGTTGTAACAGCAGTAATAGGAGGGAGGGGTGGGGAAAAAAAGAAAAAAAATTACCTCTTTTCTTTTATACTACTCAAACTTTGTAATCGACTTGATATAATACGGAATTTTTTTCTTAAGATTTTCTTTTTCTTCGAGTATACAGTCTAAATGTTTTGTGAGATAAAAAGAAAAGAGTGAAAAGAAGCAGCAAATTATAGATGGCTTTTTGGATGCACAAAAATTTTTTACAGTACTCGTCGGTTTTGTTCAAAGTTTACTAATTTCCAAATTATTTTACTGCACTGCTGTCGTAATAGTTATACGTGATTGACTCTTCACTACCGTGAATTCAAAGGGTTGAAAAAATGTTTCTTGTTTGTGGAAACATTTTTGAACTCTTTTATAAAAAAAAAAATCTGTATTGTTGTTTTTTTTTTTTTCTTTGGATGGAAAGTAGTTAAGACTGTGTTGATGACAAAGATGACAATGCCAATGATGGTAACGATGCCGATGACAATATCAGTACCACCAGTACCATTATCATTGCTAATGGCTTTGGAATAAGGACTGGAAAAACACGAAATTTGTTCGATTAGTTTTTTTTACTGTTTGAGTTTGATTAAAAGAAATTTTTTCTAAAATTTTTTTTTTGATTTCTGTTTTTACGCAAAAAAAAAAAATTTTATTTTTGATCATCTTTTATAAGTGCCAGAAAAACAAATTGTTGTTTCTACGGCTTTTTGTGTATTTGTGTTTGAAATGTATCCGGTGACAAAACTAAGCAGTTAGCTGATAGCAAAAAATTTTAAATGATGGATGGCTCGCGGTCGAGGGAGTGGGGGGTAGAAGAGGGTGAAGGAGGGAAGGGAAGGAAGGGAAATATTTTTTTGACTCACAAAACAATGTCACTTTTTGGTGTTTGGATGTTTCTTTGTTGCTTTTATTTTCAAATACCTTTTTTCTTCTTTTTCTTTTGTACTTCAACGATATCATTACATATGAATTCTTCTTCACAAATATGTGTGTCTATTAAGCTTTTCTGTAGCAGTGCTATTGTCCTTTAAGAAGTACTGTTTTTGAATATTATATAGTTGCAAATATTTGAGCAACTTTTAAGCATGCAGAGTACAAGAAAAGAAATAGATGGTGAAACATAAGTAGAATTATTGTTTAATTTTAAACTGTCAAGAGGAAGAAGTTTTTTTTCTTTTCTGAATGAATACTGTAGATGATCTAACGTGAATTAACAGATGGCTTTTTTGCAGTCCTCCAACTTTCGGTAGCAATCAGCTATCTTCCAAAGAGTCACAGTGGGTTGCACTCAAAATGATAATGGCAGAACGGGCAGCCGATTGTCTTGCCAAACTCGGTTTGGATTCTCAACACTCCACCACCAACGGTGTCACCGTACCCGATGGTAATACCAACAACAACAACAACAACAACAACAGTGCTAATGCATCGTTAAATGTACCGTTTGGACATCATCGAAGGTAGTTAACCGGTTGAATTCGATGAGTTTTCACTGCAGTTTCAACAATTTTTTAAAGCATTCTTTTAGCAACTAACAGTTTAAAATACTTTTTTGATTTATCAAACTGAACGTCGTTTATTTTTTTGTTTTTTATAGATCAAGAAGTTTACGGGAGCGTACCGGTGCAGACCAACGTTTAGAACGCCTTCCAGGCGGGGCGCTATTAACACAGAAAGTTATACCCCACACGGTGATTGCCGGATTTAACACTTCAATCAGGTATACAAATTTGTTCCTATCTTAGTATGCTGTTTTTTGTCAGACTAAATTAAACTGCGAAAAAGAGACCAAAAGGAGACCATTACAGGAAATTAGGTGATCAAAAGGGCATAACAGACAATTAAAATTAATTATCAACTCTTAATTTTGTTAACATCAGTTTTTTTTTTGTTTTAGTCGCCCTGTTCGGGTAGCAGATTTCGCCGAGCATGTACGTATCATGTCTGCAGATTCGGACTTCCGTTTTTCGGAGGAGTACGATGTAAGTTTTTTGACGACTTTGGCATCTATTTAGGTTTTTTTCTATTTTTTATCTTCGTTGTTTGAAAAGTTCTGTGAATGGCGCTGCGTGAAAACACTGCAGAGTTTGTTACAATGATTCCATTTTACTCAAATATTTTATAAAACTGTGTTTGAATTAACCAGAAGAACTTCTGCAGCATGGTATTTTAGGACTTGAAACTTGTGGGAAACGGTCAACCATGTATTGCAGCTGATCTCACGGTAAATCGTGCTAAAAATCGTTTTACCAACATTCTTCCCTACGATCATTCTCGGGTCAAATTAATGCCAGCTGATGATGAAGAAGGTTCAGACTATCTGAATGCTTCTTACATACCGGTAATATGACTTTATTCACCTCTGTATTGTTTACTTAAAGATGGTGGGGATTTCTGGGCTTGGAAACTTTGGTCTAAATTAAAATTCTTAGGGTTACAACTCTCGAAGGGAATTTATCGCTGCTCAAGGTCCGTTACCTTCAACTCGCGATCATTTTTGGAGAGCTGTTTGGGAGCAACAGTGTCCGGCAATTGTTGCATTAACTAAATGCGTTGAGAAGGGTCGAGATAAATGTCACCAGTATTGGCCTGACAGCGAACAGTTGACGGTTTTGTACGCTGATATAGAGGTTAATTTCAACTGATCAATATCTTGTAAAATTCAAGAATTAAGTTTAGTGCGGTAATATTATTTTCTTGCAGTTTGTTGTATTTGGTTTATCGTTATTAACAAGTTATTTGCAGGTGACACTAATGAATGAAACGGTTTATGAGGAGTTTATTATCCGAGAACTGCAGCTGACCAATCAAAGAGAGTCAGTGAGTACACCTCGAACGGTCACTCACTTCCACTATATGGCATGGCCGGACTTTGGCGTACCGGATCATGCGGTTGGCATTGTTCATTTTGTTCGTCTGTTTCGACGTCGTTTGCCTCCATCACCGGCCAATAGACCAACAGTTGTGCATTGCAGGTTGGCATCTCACTTAATGTTTTTTTTTACGTTCAATTTTTTTGACACTTCGTTTACGTCGACGACTGTGAAGACAAGAGGGGTGGAAAAAGGCTACAACTTTTCTAGCGCTGGGGTTGGCAGAAGCGGAACGTTTATAGCACTGGATCGCTCAATACAAGCAATGGCAAACGAGAAGCAGGTCGATGTATTTGGCGTTGTACACGAAATGCGTATGGAACGTTGTCATATGGTACAGAATGAGGTCTGACTTTTTCGCATTTTCTTTTCCTTTTTTATCGTTTGTTTTTGATTATATGAGTTTTCGCTCAATGTTTTTTCCTTCTTTTTTCTTTCCCTTTTTTTGTTTTCAACTGTTATTAAAACAAAACCTTGGGAATTTCTTCGGATGTTTTACAGCTGAATAAGTATTATTCTTACAGCAACAGTACATCTTCATACATCAGTGTTTGCTGCATGTTTTGGAGACTGACTATCCGCATTTTGTGAAATCGTTTCGGACTCCTGATGCAACTTTAAACAACACCCCTGGTTTTCAAATGCAGTCTGAATGGGTTAGTGTACCACGTATCGAAGTGCATCAGAATCCGGCATTCGAAGATGATGAAGGAATTGCCGAATCTGGTCTATAGATCTGCTGTTGGCAGAGAATCAGTTAGAAGAACAAAAAAAGGAAGAAAGTGAAAAAAGAAGAAGAAATCAGAAGCGGCAACAAAATAGACAAGCAAAACAAAACAAAAAAAAAAATCTCGGATTTTATGGATCTCAGGCGGGCATAAAAAATAATCTTTAAAATTTCTTGTGTTGTCTTTTACGTCTTATTTTTGATTCTGCTGTTTTCATTGTCACACAATTTTTTTTGCTGCGTGTAATGATGATTATTTTTTTAATTTGAAATGTTTTGTGGAATAATATTGTGAACGGGAATGGCAATTTCACGGTTTTATAAGCTTAAGCGAGGGGAAAAGAACAAAACAGATCATAACTAAATGAATATATTAGCGCCTACGTATTGTCGAATCAAACAGTTGACTATGCAGAATTGCAACTCTCATTTGATCATTCTTTCCACCCTCTCCTCCTCTCCCTTCCCCTCTGTTCTATCTGTACTTCCTTTTAAAAAAAGCACAAAATTAGCAATAAAATTCAACAAAAAAAAAAGGCATGACTGTTCAAATTAAGCAACAAAAATGTAATCACAAGAAAAATCACAAACATCTAATTAGGAGTAATATTTGAAGAACCGTGGAATTTCCATAACAGTAAAACATTCGTTTTATTCATTTTTTTTAATTGTTCAATCAATGTTTTTTTTCCAT